ATTGCACAAGGTCGAGCAACGAATCCAGAACAAGAACATCGGAACAAAGTTCTCGGGCGCTTCTGCCAAGGAGGTGAACCGACAGGCAGAGAACACCGTCCCGAAGACTGCAAGTTAATCCCAGGCTTTCCTCTTACACCTCGGACGATATCTCAGGATGGGAGGTGTCCGGGAGAAAGTAAGAATTGCCTTGGAAATTCCCTATTTTAGCGATTAATCGATTATTAACGATTATTGCACCGATTTCGAACGTTCCTGAATGTTCTTCTTCTACACGTGATCAAAATCCACCTGACCTCTCGGCAAAAGATATGGGGAACCACTAACCTTGGCAGCTGACCTTCCAATTCTGGAAGTCGAAGGTCAGCAGAGACCTATAAATACAGCCAGGGTCCTCAGTCGTTGTACAGTGTTCGTTGGCTGCGATTAATACGTTATTTGTCAGGGTCATTGGCGTTTTGCTTTTATCCTTCGGTTGGGCTAGAAGTTTTGCGGAGCAGTGAATTGTTATTTTTGGGAGTTGCGTCTAGTGAGAAGATTATAACAGTACCATGGACAGATGAGAGAGATATAAACAGTAACCAATAAAATTGAACCATAACCATTCAACAGGTTTGGTTTGCATTTCACGATTAAACAGTTGATGCGTTACGAACTGTAATGGAAAATGCCTTTAATCGACGTGCAAAATGAAGAATTAATACGGCTCCTCTGTTCACACTGGCGGTCAATACGAAAAGAGCTAAGACTGTCGAGTTCCACTACTGCATCTCTAACTGCAGCGTAATGATGCCCAAACGAGAATATTCATGACAATCTGCAACGTTTCTGAGGTCTTCTAATTTTCCAAATGGCCATCGAATATTAACACTAAAACAGGTAGGCTAATACTTCCGAGATGCTTCCTTCGCAGTGCAATGCGCCATCTTGCACGTTGTTTTGTGTAGAATTTCTTTGTTTCTCTTTATTTTGTTTCGTATGGCTTGACCAGGAAAAGTGTCTAATTCATATGCGTGCAAACACGCGAAATTTCAAAGTACTGCGAGTGCAAACGACCACGTCCCTAGTTACAGTATAAAACATTTAAAAATGAAAACACAAGGGTTTTGTTGCAGTGCCGAATAACGTGCGTGCTCGTAAATCCTTTGGATAACAATTATAGAGCACGACCAAATTTGAATACCTCGCTTGGGAAGCTGTTGATAGCGATGTCCTCTGTGCAGGGAGAAAATATCACTGCACTTTGACACATTGAGCTGCAGCTCGCGAGCTTTCGACCAAAACGTGAGACCGCTAAGAATACCTTATAATCTTACCTATGATGTAGCCATCGATTGTTTGACGCCTAGGAAAATGTCGTCCACGTACTTGAGTAAATTCACCTCTTCAGGGATTGGTATGGTGCTGACATAAGTGGAAAATAGAAATGATGACAGAATAGTGTCATTCATTCATTCATTCATTATACGCGTCAGCTAGAGGTGGGAAACACCTCAGCTACTGTGCCGCAATACAACAGATACAACAGTTGCATGCCAGCTGAGCTACCAGCAACGGATAGGCATCGTTCCGGTAAGCTACCAGCCAGCTATTAGGCAAAAAGAAAAATTATTGTCTTATGCTACGAAATGATATCCTAGGTGGATGGGAGGGACAAAGAAACTCACAGCAGAAACGCCACTGAGGTCGGCTCCTTGCCATGTCAACAAGGGTATCCAGCCAAACGTGTTCACCGTCTTTTGGACCCCAACCAGGGAGCCGTGACGCTACAACCGAGACCAGCTCCGAAGTTAGAGCCTTCATTCCTATCGACCAAGTCATCGCTTGGCCACCCTTCCTCTTTCTCCAACCACACACCCGGCGCGCAAACAGCGCACATCGCGGGAGTCGGTGGGGCTGACATGCGTACCACGTGGCCGAGGCATCGGAGCTTGGTGCGTGAAATGACGGTGCTGAGCGGTTCACTTCCTTTTTCTGTGCCGTAAACAAGGCTTCGAACACGCTCGTTACTCACGCGGTGTCGTTTCTGCTTGTGTCATTTCCTTTCCTCGCACCTAATTGGCATTCTCGTCAAACGCCTCTGGCAAACAGAATCAGGTAAAATGAGGTATCGCGGCAGCGACGTAAAATCCATGCCACTGCTGCGAATCGCTTCATGGTCAGACACTTTGTATCAACAGTAGGATGCGCAAAATCCACCTGGATTGCTTTTGATATACCATCTTTGGATCCATCTCACTCTTGTTTGATATTCATGTTCCGTTATCGTAGAGAATGACCAATAGGACCGTTAACTTGTGTGCCATGTGTTCGGTCTCATTTTTCATTTGCCATATGGGCGTTCACTTATCTGCTTTTTAACGAGTATCAATATAAGGTCATTCTGTTGCACATCATAAAACATCCGGCTTTATGGGCACACAACACCGACCCCGCTTCTGTTATCCATCGAAAAAGTGATGTCTGTGCTGCTTGTGAATCCAAACTTGGTCGCTGTCATGCATCACAGCAAGCTCACACGATGTGCGAATAAAACACAGTAGTCTGCAGACAGCAGACTTCGCCCTATAACGACAGTCTTCGGTAGCTTGCCATCCATGTGGAGAGGGACATCATATTCACATGAATCAGATGTGCATCGCAACAAGGCAGTATATATCCCATCGACACCAGAGTGTTTGCCAATTTGCGTTTGAGCAAGAGTACCTGTTTTTCTTCCATTTTATGCTGTCGAAACTCACTGTGTTTCAGTAAGTCTCTGCTCTCCTGTTCAGAAGATGGTCGATGGTCGAGGCTGTGTACATACTGGTGCGGGTGCTGCGTCTACTACGGTCCTCGCTTGTTACAAAGTTAGCATACCGTGTGACAGAATTTGTGCTGACGGCTTTAGGTGTAGTACGTCATTGCTTTTGCCATTTCTCATACCGGATGTATTACATTTCCGTTACATAGTGAATTCTCCCCACTCTTCTTCTTTACTAACCGCTTCTCTGATTTAGTGGCAGGCCATCGTTAGCGAAATTGTTCGCTCTTGTTGACTTGCTTCAGACGATATCCACCAACGATGTGAACTACATACAAAGTTCATGGTCCTCTCACCCGAAATTTCCAATTGTGCTCTCTTTCTCACCTGTTTTGCCCACTTTGAGCGCCGCTGTTTCTCTTACGAAACAATAACCGGTAAAATCCTTCTTTCCCTTCATCATATCCTGTATCTTGTTTTTACACCTGAACTTTTTACTGGAGTAGTGGCGCACAATGGATTTTCCTCGTTTTTTGAATTTCCTTTTCGACCCGCCGTCGATTTTCTCCTCTACATACTCGTCACATGTGTGATAGTAGTGGTGGTGGTGAAGTATGTCGAAGCTGCATCACACCCAGCCACCCCACCTTGCATAAAGACCTGCACATTCACCCAAAAGCTTGGCTTCCTATTCCCAAGCACTGGGTCGCAATTTTGCGTCCCCCATTAATGCGCGGTGTATTTTATCGTCCGATTGACAGGCATCCAGCCTACTCTGACCCTTGATTGTGATCAGGTAGAAGTTGTTCTGGAATTCAACTAAGCGAACCGCTATAGTAGCTTCTTTGAAATAGAAGAGGTCACGAACCTTATCGTAAAAGGTCGGGGTGCTTTTATCAATCTCCACCACCTATGGCATCGGCTCGACATCACTCGCCTTGAAAGACAAAGTTTACAACGCATCCGTCCATTCAACTCTGCCATACAGCTGTGTATCCTGCCCCAGTAGGACGACACACATATAGAGGCTAGCTATTTTCAACCACTGCTGCTTTCTCAGCTTAGCTAAAATCTGGTGGCATCTGGCTTGGCGAATGACTCGTAGTGCCAACTTGGCGGTTCGGATGTTTCCGGTTCCGGCGAATGGTTCGACGGCAGTGTTCCAGGATCTGGCGTGTTTACGCGTGGCAATTTTTCTTACAATAAAAAGCCGAAAGTGTCCGCTTAACAACACTGCGACGTGGTGGATATGACTCGCCACTAAATGAAGTCACTGCCCCTTGCCTTCCTCGGAGACATTGCATACCCGCAAGCAATCGGAACATCGGTTTTCTGCCTCTGACTTCGGGAGTGTTTGGGCCCTGGTATGGCTTTTCGCCATCCGGAAGGCGTATGAACTGAACGTTCAGTCACCGACTCCCGACGGGTGCGAAATCCTTATCTCGCAATGCTGCCTTATAGGTTAGTCCCTTTGGCCATAGGTTCGGATCGTAATCCCCTAAAACAACCTACTACTTCGTCCTAGGTGCCTGTTCGGCGTCTCATATTTGGTGCAGGAAGAGCAAGTGAACCGCTCAGCACCAGTATTTCACGTACTATGTTTTGACAGCCGGCCATCTGTTACGCAAGCTAGCACATCGACTCCTGCGACGTGAATTATTCGCTCGACCGGGATGTGAATGGAAGAGGGGGAGGGCAGGCCGAGTGATGACTTGCTCAGTTGGTGCCTTTTGGCTACCGGGCCATAAACACGATTAGTTAGATACACTTGTTGACCTGGTGTTCGTGTTGTGTTTCTTTGTCCATCCCCTCACCCCTAGCTTCCTCTCAATAACCATCCCATTCCCAGTGCACAATATGGTACTTTTATGATTTTTATTTCGTATTCTGTAATGATTTGTATCTCACATTTTTGCATATTCTATTTTGGCATGACAATTAACTTTAACTAACGTGTAATCAATGAATAAATCTTTCCTCAGAAGAATGTATTGACTGCATAGTGTCTTTTCGAACTTTGTCTGTTGATTGCTACTACTTGGGATAATTCTTCTCGAAGCTTTGTGCAATGTGCTCAGATCTCCTGCCCTGCTCTTGTTTAGTTGAGATATGTCAGCATCTCAACCCACATGCACTCGTTTGCTGTTACATGACAGTGAAACGGCATTAGCGAACATCGCCAGTGTCCTGGGCAGTCCTTTTTCACATTTTGTTGTGGTGTGCATTTGCCTGCAGTGTCTTTGTTTCTTTCACGCAGGCATCTGGCAACTGGTTCTGGCGATCAGACTGTCCGCTTTTGGGACCTAAATACGGAATTGCCGACAACGACCGGCTCCGATGCTCATCACTCTCCGGTCCTTTGTTTGGCTTGGTCTCCAGACGGTTTGTGCTTGGCCTCTGGTTGTCAAGGTGGCTTGGTTTGCTTATGGAAAGAGTCCGACGTTGGCGGTGCGTGGTCCTTATGCACAAGTAAACCTCTTACTAGACCTTCTACCTCACGAAATTCATGGATTCGCTCCTTAACTTGGCGCCCGTTGCATCTGTGAGTTTCTTGGTTATCTGCACTTGTCGGTTCATTTGAGTCTCCTCGAATATCTTCGCATCCTAGTGACCTATTTGATCACTGTAATTTTGAACTTTTGTGTGGATGTTTATTGTGATTATATACTACAGTCTAACTTGCTATGGCGACTAGCCAAAATATCTCCGACGTTTTCTCCTATGAATAATGTCCCCCGATGCATGAACCTGTCTATGGCGATCACTCTTTGTCGGTCCCTTGATTGGTCAACTTAGACATGTTTAAGTGTATTTTTGTGGACTAATTGGTGCTCTATGCGCACGTACTTATAGAGACCTACATTCCTGACTAAGTTCTTGATTTGGTGCTGTGACTTGCTCTGTTTCGTTGCTGCGGCGTTGTAGGGCGGTTTTTCTCTTGCCTCGCAATCGTGAGTAAAAGGGGCTAGTTATCCTACGAAAACGGCTGTCACCTCGCTTCGGTTATCTCACATTCTCAGCGGGCTAGCGGATACTCGACGACATCATTACGGAGCTTGTGGGTTCCTTGTTCGGACACTTCTCGATGGAAGAGGATGTTTGTGTGCGAATGCTGTCGGCCGCATGGGCGATGATTTGCAGCTACACAAACATCCTTCAAACAATGAGCATTTGCCGGTGATCTCGATAATCGTTCTTCTTTTAATTCTATTACTGTCCATGATTCATTTGTCAGCGCCGTATAGTAAAACAAAGGGATCGTCGTCAAACCGGAATCTGCACTTTACTCCGTTAGGGGTCTCTCTTCAACTAACTCATAAAATCAGCATGATATTGCTCTACCCACATTTTTGTTCACCTAGTTATCGACAATCTTGAGGCCATATCGCCAATTGACTTTACGATTGAATCGAGGGAATCGGATAACGTTTTCCGGTCAAACTCTTCTCGGTGACTGGATTAGAGTATTTGCATGCCTCCTATATCAATCGTTTGCTGTCGACGCACTCCGGGAATTTTAAGAGGAACATCGACGTGCATTCCGTGTGGGCCTCTTCGCCACTCCATGCTCTTTCGTTCAGGTCACAGTATTCCGCTTGTTTTACAGTACTTACCATAGGCTTAAGGTCAGTAAGCAGTATTTCATAAAGGGTCACTTTGATACTAAATAAACTTAAGTTATCGATTTCTCATTCACGTACCTATTGAAGGTATTGTACTGCTCTGTAACCTAGAATAACCAAGGAATGTGGTGTTTTTATTAGTATGTTTTATCCTTCCTATTACCAATCACATGCAGTATGAGGCGGAGTTTGTTGTCACTCAGGGTTCGGCAGTACATCTTTCGCCCGTACCTGTTTACTTGTTTCTACGAGTAACGATGTTCAGATTCAAACCCCCGTTGCGGTTCGCGGTGAGAGTTGCTGATCCACTCCAAAATTAAATCGACATTACCATATTGCTGAAGGTTATAGGAAAGAATAAAGAAGGATATCAGCAGTATGTCATTGAGGCACACCGATGCTTCGCTGCCAACAATCTCACACGTGCCAAGGATACTGTCAGGTCACCAACACCTACGCAGACTCGAACCGGGAACTTTTGGGTTGCAAGGTAGACGCATATTCCGTCTGGCTACCGACCGACAAGGTTGTATAACGCGAGTTGTGATGATCGAAGCGATTAAATGCCTTTGAAAAGTAAAAGTAGATGGAATCGGTTGCTGTCTTCTCCTCTACTGCTTCAATCAAGTTGTCGTGTGCGGTTACCGTGTTCGTGGTACACGATCGATGTTGCCGAGAACGATGCTGCGGTTTTCCAGATAGCCAATAAATGCCTCCGCGATTACGATTGTTTCCATGATATAACAAACATGAAGAGAAGCGTTACCGGCAATTAACAGGCTCAGATCGACTTCCTCACTTGTGGGCCAGAGTGACAATAACTCGTTTCCATCTCGAGGAAGTTCTTTTATCGTCTGGAAAGCGCTGAAGGCATCCAGCCAGCTGTTCGGCTAAGTTTATGCTTGTCGGTTGGTTAGGACTAAAGTGACACACGATCCAGGTTGAAATTGCGCGCCGAAATTCAGTAACACAACAGGTTCTTAAATGAAACAGCTCCAACAGGCCATTAACCGTTGTAACAAACATTTCCGGCCTTGACTTGGTGGCTTATTAGCAGAGCCTTCGGCTAACATCGCTAACTTCCAAGGATCGATGTCTGTTATCTGCAAAGCCCGAAGCCGGTCGAAGAGTGCTGTGACTTCAGGTGGTCAACACCCACTATCCAGTTGCTTTATGAACAATGGTCTCAATGATCGAATTGGTCAGGGTTTACTTCATTGTGGATCGCGCGTCCACATCGAGATTGAGTGTGCTGTGAATACGAACCCGGTCGTATGGTGTAATGTGACGAGCACACAGCATTCAATGTTCATCTGCTTCAGATGCTGCCCGAGCGACGGAATTGACTCAAGTTCGCCTCAATCCACTCGCATATTTCGTAGTCCAAAAAACGACCCATCCAAACACTCGCAACGCGTTCACGCGGTTGTGATGGCCGCGCAGAAAGCTGCACAAGCCGTAGAGGACAGTGTTGGAACCAGAGTTCTGATTAGTCGTTTGTGTACATACATATGCGGGATTTGCTCAGTTTGGATCGGACCTCCCTCGTGCGAAAAGCCTTAAGATGACAATCGGGCGATAAGTATGGACCAGGCGCTGGACTACCTGCAGCCGTATGGGTTTCAGTTAATCCACGGAGCACCGGGTGATGCTCTCGGATACGCTGTTTTGTGATATAACCTATTTTATCATACCCCACAGGAACAAGTGAACTGGTATACCTGACATTGAATGATTTCCAGACAATTTGTCCTTCATATTACTCACGAGTAGCAGGATTTTAGTTGTATTTCTAGTAAGGCTTTCATCCCAATAGTTCACAAGTTACATAGCAGAGCCTAGTCCGGAAAAGCGCCAGACGCGTTTCGCCTTATTGGGGCTCGTCAGTGGCGCGCATTCCCTCGGTCCTCTAAGGAGGATCGAACCCATAACCGCTAGAGGCAGATGCCAACTAGCCAGCAGCTTAAGCCACTGAGGCATGGGGGACGTTGGCTGGGCTACATAATTTGCAAACTAACTGGGATATAACACCACCTATCTACCACTGTCACTGACAGTGGTTAGCCTTCAGCCTTGGAGGTCGCACGCGCTGTTTAAAAAATCGGACGCGATTCAGAGTCTGATTCTCTCAGATGTCAAACTTACTTGGGGCAAAGACCTTTGAAGCAATCATGTTGAAAAAGCTTGTTGTTCCTTAATATCTTGGAGCATATTTGGAACCGATCGTGGAGTCGTCATTTCAGAAAACTTGGTAAACGACCGGTTAATGTATTTATGATGATACACAACGTTTCGCATTTGACGCAAATGCTTCATCAGGCGAAGTGAATTATCTAAACATTGGCATTTTATAGCGATCATGGCTAAACTACATACAAAGACGAATCAATTTGCAGTTCGTGTATGAATGATTACAGCGGTCAAGGGTCAATATGTTCGCGGGGAAAACTGTAGTTTGTTACACTCAGGGTCAAGTGGAGGAAAGAAATTGCCGGTCCGTGGATAATTACATTGTGGTTAACAATCTTATTTGAACCGTTGCAGGGAACTTGGACACTGATAGAATTTGGCTTTAGTACTTCGGAGTTTGGTGGAGGGTGGGTCGATAGTTCATTCCGACTTGGGATCCATCCACCGATGCTTACCAAGACTGGACGCCAGGCACTGGAAAGCCCTACTCCGTCTATTCTATTCACGCAGTTGTTAGCCTTGGTTATTTCTATAGCCTCAGCAATCAGCCTATGTTTGGCTGATCGTAATCCCTTCCTGATTCCCTCCACATTTTTGAAGTCAATTTTATGCCCCGTGTCTAGTGCATGCATTGCTATTGCTGAATCTCTGAGTAGAGCTCCATACTCTAGCTCATTTCGCGGAGGTCGTGATATGTGTCGCCTATGTTCTAAAATCCTTGTACGTAATTCCCTCGCTGTTTGGCCTATATACACTTGTGTACAATCTTTACATGGAATTTTGTAAATACAGTTAGTTGTTCTATCTAAAGGGAGTGTATCCTTCAAGTGCACAAGTGTGGACCGTAGCGTTCGACCCTTTTGGAAAACTACCCTTATCTTCTCCTTATTCAGTACTCTCCGAACCGCTTCCGAAGTTCCTTCTTTATACGGAATACCCACTGTCGCTATCCACTCTGCGGTTTAAGTTGCGCGTGGGTTGAGACATTTCTGTAGCTGTCGTTTCACCAATCGTTTCGGATATCCGCTAGCTATTAAGTTTTTCATCGCTTCCCTCTGCGCTACTTTCTTATCTTCTTCCTCCGTGCACAGAGCACTTGCTCTGTGAAATAGTGATGAGGCGATTCCCGCGAACACGTGCTTTGGGTGACTTGAACTATAGCTGAGTACCCCATCTGTGTCCATTGGTTTGCGATACATCGTTGTTTTTAACGCCCCTTCCTTCCTATGTATCAGACAATCAAGGAACGGAAGTGTACCGCTCTGCGACTCAAGTTCCATGGTGAACTTTATCGCATTGTCAATAGGGTTCAAATAGTCTAAAAATTCTTCTTTTTTATCCCTTTTTATAATCGCGAAAATGTCATCCACGTAGCACCACCATACTTTCAGGCACCACGGAAATTGGGTAATGCTTTCTTTTCAAACTCTTCCATGTACATATTGGCTAATACGGGGGATATTGGAGATCCCATGTTGTTCCTTAGTGGTCTTAAACTTTTAGTGAGTTTCATATAACTGATTTTCCATATCTTCCAATTTGCCACCCATGTGAACGACGTGATTGGATCGCTTGATGAATCCGTTCGCTCTCATTGTGACAGTCTCCCCAGCTTTTACTACTTTGAAAAACATTATAAGCACAACTTATCATCTTGTTTTTGCCTTATTATGCATCGCCTTTCTATTGCATTCCACGAGTACAACCACTGTGTTTTCATTGGTTCAGTGATTCTGATTGTCGTCAGCTTGCTGTGGCCTACGAGGACTGTTTCATAGTTATCTGGGACACCTGGACTGGCCAGCCTTTGATCAACATCACGGGTCATGAGAAACCAGTCGTCTGTGTCCGTTGGGGTGGCACAGACCTCATCTACTCAGCTAGTCAAGATAGAACAATTCGAGTTTGGCGCTCCACGGATGGTGTTCTTTGTCGAACTCTCACACTTCACGGTCACTGGGTCAATTGTCTCGCGTTGAGCACCGATTACGTTCTGCGCACTGGTGCATTTGATCCAGCTCATGCGAAGTTCACTAAGCCACCTCCTCCCGCTAGGTCGGACACTGTCCGAAGTGAGTTACTTTGTTGTTGTTGTTGTTGCGAAAGAATCATCATCACTTGTGCGGCTATTCATCTCTTTGTAAATCAAAATTAATCGTACACTTGGTGGCTCATCTAAGCGCCCACATTTGGATAACATACTCTTTGAACCCTTCTTGGCTTTCAGAAGTCACGACTGCACCCTCGGTTAGTTACTACAGAAACCCCGGAGGTGCAGAAGCGTTGCCTACACGGTCCTACTTATTAACGCAGTACTCATTTGCGCGTCACTACGTCCCGCGACGGCTGCCTCGTCCGAATGTTGGTTCTTTTTGTATTACGCTTTTATTTGTGGTAGCTAGGCGTGCACTTTATGGTAGGCTTCTGAAGTGATCCGTAGTTTTGCCTTTTATGACCAATTTACCCGTTCGTACCACACTACTTACAGTTTCAAGAGGGAAAGAACATGCAACATTTCAGCGGAATAATCCATCTTCACCCAGTCTATGTAAGAGGCTGATGAGAGCACACGAAATATACCGAATTCAGATTATTCCGCTGAAGTGTTGCTTGTTCTTGCGCTCCTGGAACTCTTGAAGGGCAACGATTGTATGACGTTTTTTAAAAGGCATCTCCCGGGTGAGACATTTCGTTCGCTGCATAATACCTTAGCACTATGTTGGTCTCTCTCTCGTGAAGCCGCCTGTATCGAAACATGCACGGAATGCATCAGGTTGTCGAAATACCCACGTCGGTTTTTAAAATCCTTGGGGAAAGAGAATTTGCCCCTTAATCTGCGAAATTTACGAAACACTAACTCGAAGATTTCATCCACCGATGTGCGCCTATAAAGGTCAAGGTGAGATGTGTGGAGCACTTTTTGAGTGAACCGAATCTTGTGTATCGTGTGAAGTTCTACAACTTTCTTTGTGACTTCTAAGTTAAATGTAGGATGCTAATAAGGCAGCAAATTTCAAACCCCATATCTTCCGAGTGTCTGACTGAGCAGACCCTACTAAAGCAAAGGTGTATATATCATAGATCCTAAATTTCGCTGAGTCCTCGCCAATTGGAAGTTTTGACTCTCGGGTCTAACTTAGAATAGAATTTGAAACACTGTTTGAACATCCATTAAAGCAACTTTCCTGTCTGACAGCTGTGAGAGATGAGGCCACTAGCTGGTTTAAGGCCAGGGCTGTAAATGCTACTAATCAATATTACGGAAGCTGAGGTTGCCGAATAATTAGGGAAGATCATCTTGATTCCTGGATAGGATTACTTTGCAATACTGATCTACTGGTATGATAAAGGTTCTCGAGTTGTTATGATGAGCAAACAGGATTACTTACAAGCTGTACTCATGAATGAAGATCGATTTGCTAGAGTTTTGGCAAGCACTTATAGAGCAATGGCCGATTGGCATTAAGCGTCTGCTTAGTCACCTGTATGAGTCTGCATCGGTGCGGTGGCCACGCAGTCTCTAGCCCACGCGCGACTAGTGTTGGCCAAGTGGCAGCAAAGCATCGGCACGACGCTCCAGCGGATACCTTTCTCTTATTATTTCCCTTATTATCTTCACTTGAACTGATTCTATGAACGATTGGTTCCTAATGTATGTGACTGTCTGACACAGTTGTGGATGGGTTACCGCGATTTTGGCCATGTTAGCGGTTTGAATTTGGACGGGTACGTGGTATCCACCTTTCTCTTTTGATATAAGTCAAGTCCTACGCTCGTATCATCAATATGCAAGTGCTTTTAATCCACACGGCTTTGTTATCCCAGCTCCATTCATGCCGTTGCTTTCCGTTAATCCAGTCAACTTTCTCGTTGTAATACTTAATAAGTAACTCTTCATTTCGAAAGCTTACTCGTTACCATTCTGTTTTTGGATTCTCTTTCCAGGAGCACAAATGAAAACAACCGCAGAGGAATTGTATCATAAAGTCAAAGTAAGTTTGACGCACCTTCGAAGGAATCCAATATAACTAGCGTTTCTCTGGAGCGTGCACAATTTAATTGCTTTTCATCGGTCACCATTGAGTTCACTGGTGTGTCATAGCTGAATACAAAAATTGAACTTGGACCGCAATGCTCCGTTAGATTGCAGAACGTTCTTTACACGGCGGTCATGTCTGATTTGTTTATTTGTTTTATATATGCAAAATGTTCTCTCATTCGGACTGCCATTTGATTCAGTCAGGGCCTATGATCCGTTAAAATGACAAAATTAAAGACTTCGGAATCAATTAATGAAGAAAAGCCAACCGATCTCAGTTTCGTGGCAGCAAAAATGTTAGCGTTCATTTATAAATAAGTAAGACGAGCGTATCTCTCGACCACATCATTTCAGACAAGGTTCCAAATCACTTGTGGCCCAATTCCTGAAGGGCGAACACACCATAGTTACACAATGTTTTTGTTATCTATCGACGCTCCTTACTTCACTATCCTGGGGGGCATTTAAGCGTTACCCTACCGCTTGCTCACGTTCCAACTCCCTCAGGCTTCTCATCAGATTTGATTGGTAGCGCCTTATAAAGCAGAGGCTTGTTGTCGTTTTGGCGTACAACTCTACTGAAGCACCCAAAGACGAATAATGTTATTATCTCTCAAGCCTGTGAACAAAAACACTAATGTCAAGTTTGCTGTGAATGGCAAGCTGGCCAACGGACAAAGGACCGAGTGACGCCTGGGATACAATTTTGGATTTGATGCTAATTGTGATGGAGATCAACTTCTTCAAGTATGCACTGATCACAGCCTCCATATCGGGGACGTAGGAACACACGTTGATATGACGTCAATCGGTGCACCCTGAGCCACATCCGCATCAATTAGGGATGGTTTTGTCGGCAAAAGATCTGGAGCATCCGTCTGAGGCCCAATCATTCTACCGGCTCCAGGGAAGCCCCCAAATTTGCATTCCACATGAACTCAATCAATTATCCATCATCGTCGGTCCGCTTTAGAGCGACAGGTGTGTTTAGCAAATGAGCTAAATACCAACGGGTGCCGCCTACAGCGCGCAACCAAGATAGTTTCACCAGCTGCTTTTTCCTCTCAAGTTTGAGATATCCGGATGACGAATGATCAGTTTCGTAAGTTGCTTGACGCCTCACGTTTGACCAGGAACATTGCCGGATGGTGTGGACCATCACCCCCAGGTACATTTGCTTATCGTTCTAAGTCATTGGTGATGGGGCTACTCTATTCCCTGCACTGCATTAATGTGCAACTTACTGGATAGTGAGCGGCGCTGCATCACACCTAGTAACTTAGTCACGTCAGTCAATGAACAATGAACAATGAATTTATACGGGTTAATAAGCGTTGCTTTACAAGCCCCGTTGGATAGTTGGTGGGGATATCAACATAATAATTATGATGAAAAGGATAGTAAAATAGTTAACACTTTAAATACGAAAATAAGGACTTATCGTTTGCTTCGCTGCAGTCCTGCGATCCACTTAGATTCACAACACCCACAGTTAACAACAAATAATTCCAGGGTAAACTCCAGGTGTAGGATGGAGACATAGTGTTAAGTAACAAAGTGTAAGTGGATGAGTGCATCGTCCAACCGTCTTTTAAATATTGTTAGTGTCGGTGCAGAGACGACCGATTCTGGGAGAGCATTCCACGGGTGACAGACACGGATGGAAAAGAAATTTCTGCGGCACTCCAGACGACTGTATTGTTCTGCGAGTTTTAATGAGTGGCCCCTCAGGGTTGTATTGCTGCTGAGTTGCAGTAAAGGGCGGCACACATGATGTGGGTCTCGCAGAATCAAGTATGTCATAATCAGGTCGCCTCGCAGCCTGCGATAGCTTCCACTGAACAATCCTAGTCGTCGCAGCCTCTCCTGGTAGGACAGATTGCGCATTCCAGTTACGTTCTTAGATGCCCGGCGTTGAGGCTGCTCCAGTGCGTTAAGGTCGTGTTTCAGCCATGGATGCCAGGCTTGAATTGCGTATTCGACGTGGGGGCGAACATACGCACTGAGCATTTGTCGAAATATGGAGCTGTTTATTTGTCCAAATGCCCGCCTCAACAGCCCAACGTGTTGATTCCCGGTCTTCGAGGCCTTTTCCGATTGCCTGGAGCAACCCAAGTCATCTTGAACCAGGACACCCAAGCCACGTTCGAGAGTTGATTGTTGCAGTACATCCGTTCCGAGTCGGTATGAGTAGCTGCCCTGATGTCGGATGGAAAGCACCTTGCATTTACTGACGTTGAAATGCAATAAGTTTTGGATTGACCATTGATACACTGTATCTAAGTCACTTTGGAGCACATGTTAGTCGGCGTTCGCCTGGATCCTGCGCCAGATCTTGATATCGTCGGCAAACATTAGGAAGTTTGAAGCGATTCCCTGTGCAAGGTCATTAATAAACACCAGAAACAAACGTGGACCTAGAACCGAGCCTTGCGGCACACCACACTCGACTTGTATGGGGTCCGATAAAGAGCTCCGAACTCTGACCACTAATTGCCTTTGAAATAGAAAGTTGGCGATCCAGCTTAAAAGAGGGTCTCCGATCCCGTAATGCTGTAGCTTGGATAGTGGTATCCGATGGTCTAGACGATCGAAAGCCTTGGAAAAATCCAGGTAGATCACATCAACACCTTCTCCAGCGTCGGCTGCCTCGGTCCAACTACTGCGTGCAATTAGTAAATTAGTTGTACATGACCGCTGTCGACGGAAACCGTGCTGTTCAGGAGTGATGAGGTTGCAGTTTTCCAGATAGCATACCAGTGCATCGGCAACTATAGATTCCATGACCTTGGATAGTATAGGAAGAAGGGTTACTGGGCGGTAGTTGGAGGGATCAGATCTGCTTCCACCTTTGTGAATCGGGCTTATTATTCCAAGCTTCCACATGGCGGGAACTTGGTTTTGGTCTAAGCAGTGCTGGAAAAACTGAGCTAAATGTCCTGCCAGTTGGTTTGCTGCTACTCCCAATGCCTCAGGACGAATGGCGTCGACACCCGGCGAGCTGTGTTTGCGTAGAGAGGTCAGCTTTTGCAATACAGCCTCTGCGGTAAAACTGACGTGGGTTAGTCCTGGTGAGCAGAAGACAAAGCTTGGTAGATCGCTTGGTGGCAAGACCGTTTGAAACGTGGGGGCGTATTGCATCTGCAGCGCGTTTGCAGCTTCCATAGACGTTCTTGTTGGGCCATCAGCCGTCTTGAGTGGAGGAAATCCTTGCCTCACCTTTCGTAGGCTATTAACGTGCTTGTACAGCAGTTTGTGGTTAGCACTGAAGGTTTTTGCGATGTTCTGCTGATAGGCGGCTTTGTCTTCTCTTAACAGTTGAGTGCAGTGGTTACGTTGGGCTAAGTAGTTGTCCCACGTTTCTGGTGCTGGAGCTTCTCTGTACACTCGCCATGCTGCGTTGCGTACTGTCATCCATTTTCGGGTTCTGCTCCTAACGAAAGAAACGGATTTGCACTTATTGTAAGCTTTTATCTCTGAAGCCTGTGCAATCAGCTGACTGAATGTGTTGACGAACTCGAGCCAGGCGACTTCTGGGGGTTCTTCTTCGAGGAAAGACCATGTTGTGGCGCTGACTAGCTGGGAGAGTCGGTCGTACCTTGTGATGGTTCGCACAGTCTAATCTTTATCATTCTGATATTCTGCATAGCAGACGAAGTTGAAACTGATCACTGCGTGATCACTGCGACCCAACGGGCAGTCTAAAACCAACGCATCAATCATATGCTCCTCGTTGGTAAGCACAAGATCCAACACAGATGGCCTGTTACCAGTTCTGAACCGAGTGGGCAAAGTGATGTGGTTGTAAAGAGGAGCAGTAGTTACTAGATCTTGTAAATCGGTTTTGAATTGTTCGCCGGTTGTGGCAGGGGCTTCTAAACAATGTACGTTGAAATCACCCATGATGAGAATGTGAGTGTACTTCGGTTGCAAACTGCACCTTAAAGCAGCCAATAGGTGGTAGTCGGTTTCGGGTGTTGAGTTAGGGGCGCGGTACACCAAGATAATAAGGCAAGCGTCCCTGCCTTTTAACTGCAACCGGCACCAAAGAGAGTCGGGGAACTGCGAATCTGAATCCTCCACGGCTTCGCACTGTAAGTCGTTTCGGTAGTACAGGATTACCCCTCCTCCTTTTGTGAGCCTATCGTTCCGGATCAGCGACATGCCGGGTAGCGACACTTCAGCGTCCGTCATTCCCGTGTGCAACCATGTCTCGGTGATACCAATGACATCATACGAGCCGAAAGCTTGGCGATCTTTCAGTTCAGCCAGTTTGTTAGAAAGTCCCTGAGCATTTGTATACAAGCAGGCCAGTTTCTCGGTCTCTAGGAGCCCGCAGAGAGGTGAAGCTGTCAAGTGTGGGAGAGTGCCGACCGATGGGAGGTCGGCAGTTATTCGTTTTTTTGATGGGTCAATGATACCTCGTTTGTAACTTGATTCGGCCAAGGTGCGTCCCAGCCTTCGTTTAGACCTACTTCAGAGTCAATTAAAGCAGCAGTCAAGTTACACTTCTGTACACTCGTCAGGATGCTTGCTGCTTCAGTTTCTTTAATACTTGAGCTGTGCGAATTGTTTGCGACCTTTAACCGAATTTCGGAAGGAAGATGTTTCCGATTTCTTCGCCATCGATCCAAAACATCCTTTGCTTGTTGCTCTGACTGAACCACAAGTTTTAGGATTCTAGGGCCGCATCCTCTATAATTCGATGAGAGAGGTATCCTGGTGAGCGATAGTGCCACAACATCATCCAAAGAAAGTGTTTCACGAATGAACCGCCACTGTTCTAAATCGTGCTTTCCGGTATCTTGAACATGGTTAGAAGGATGTTCTGGCACTCCATGTATGAAGACTGTGTTTAGGCGGTCTTGCTTGCTGTGCCCCTCTTCGGTGTTTCTTTTTGATTGTCGCGCGCTCCAAGGGACATCAGGATAAATACGTATCGCACAGGATCCG